AGAGTGTTGAAATTGGAGGATGGCACAGATATTCCAATTGACGATGCGTTTGAAATTTTCCGCTCCATCAATTTCGATGATGCAGTTGATAGTAAATATTTTTTTTAAACTTGAAAAATAATAAAATTTATTAATAAAATTAATTTTGTGTCTAATTTTTTTTTCTATACAGCAATAGAAGATCAAGAAAAACTTGAGTTAAAAAGATTGGATATGTCGAATAACAAAGAACAACAACAGCAGCAGCAGCAGCAACATTTGCAAACTCAGATAGTACAGCAAAGTGGAAGTTCTCATGTAACTCAAGAATATTTCACTAATCCTGTGCTATCTGTACCGTCAGTCTCTCTACCTACGTTACCATCACTGCAAGTAACCAGTGCTGGTGTCCAGATAGAGGCAGACATATCAGCGGGTTTACAACTAACAAGTACGCAATCGTTGCAAAATCCAGCGTTGAAGAATCGTTTGAGAGCTTTCGAGGAAGGTTTTCGCCAGGGTAGCATACATTTTCGCGAATGTATGCAGCATATTAGCAGTGATACCTTTCAGCCTCAATTGTTGCTTCAATCCTCTCAAATAAGTAAGTTCATGAAATGTCTTTAACACAAATAATGTTGTTGAACTTTTGCTATAGCGATTTTTAATTTGCCTCAATTTTCTTACTACTCCAGCATTTCCTACGCAAACATTACCAGCCGTGAGTGGAGCAACAGGAATAATAGACAGTATACCGCCTCATCAGTCAAGCAGTTATGCACAATCTACAACTTCTACCGCTAATCAAGTTCAAGTCGCTACCCAGACCCAAGCACCTGCTACCACAACCTCTTCAAACATTGCCACCGTCGATAAAAAACAAGTGTACACTGCGCCGATAACCGGTAAGAGTAAGAAGACCAGATATCCTCTTCTGTCTCAACAGCAATCTTGCCAGCAACAACAAACTGCCAGTGCTCAGCAGACTTCCAATTTTCCGACGCAAAGCTATCAATTAGATCCAGCGACAGGTGAAAATTATATGTTACTATAATTTTCGCTATAATCAATAATACAACATTGATCAATATATAATAGTACAATATATTGTTCCAATAGTCGGAGGATACACGACCAATCAAGTTCCACCTGCTCCATTCTCGTGTATGGATGTTGATTCAGAAACTGACAGTAATCACGACACAGCATTGACCTTAGCTTGTGCCGGAGGGCATGAAGATCTCGTTGAACTTCTTCTGAGTCGTGGTGCAGATATAGGTAAGGATAACGGTTAAACAACTTGATCATTGTAATATTTGGAGAAGCAATGTGAAGAAGATTGCAGGCAAATATGTGATAAGCTATAAAGATGCGTAATCTGCCATTCTTGTTGGCAATTAATATTTAATCTATCATTGTTTCCCCTAAACAATTTAATATACGAAAAATATAGAATTGTATAGTTATATAGAAATATATAAATATAGAATTATTAATAATTATTAAACACAACATAATATAGAGTAAATATATTAAGATATAATTTTATTGCAGAACATAGAGATAAGAAAGGATTTACTCCACTCATTTTGGCTGCAACAGCGGGTCACCAGAAAGTGGTCGATATTCTGCTCAATCATGGTGCTGACATTGAAGCACAATCTGAACGTACCAAGGATACACCATTGTCTCTTGCGTGTAGCGGAGGCAGATACGAAGTAGTCGAGCTCCTACTTAATCGCGGTGCAAATAAGGAACATCGCAATGTTTCTGACTATACACCCTTAAGTCTCGCGGCATCTGGCGGTTATGTGAATATAATAAAGCTGCTACTCAGTCATGGTGCCGAAATTAATTCTCGTACCGGCTCGAAATTGGGTATATCTCCACTTATGCTTGCTGCTATGAATGGGCATACTGGTAAGAAATTGATGAATTAAAGCTAGAAATTTTCTAATCAATAATCCCAATTTGCCATATGTGTGTATAAAAGCAATTCTATATATACTCATAATTTTAATATTAAAAAAATATATAAAATATAATTGATTTTACTATAGCGGCAGTCAAATTATTGTTGGATATGGGTAGTGATATCAATGCACAAATCGAGACAAATCGTAACACGGCATTGACACTCGCGTGCTTCCAAGGAAGACATGAAGTTGTTAGTCTTCTTCTCGATCGAAAAGCCAATGTTGAACATCGAGCTAAGGTAGCATATTTAACGTTAAAATGAAAAGTATAATGTATGTGACTTTTAATATATAATCATTTTTTCCTCTTTATAAAGACGGGTCTAACACCGCTAATGGAAGCTGCTAGCGGTGGATACGTCGAAGTTGGCCGCGTGTTACTTAGCAAAGGTGCGGATGTTAACGCAACACCTGTCCCATCATCTCGTGACACTGCCCTAACTATTGCCGCTGATAAAGGTCACTGCCGTTTCGTAGAACTCTTATTGACGAGGTAACTTTTCTATGCGTTTATCCCATGTTATCGGATTCTTTATAGAAACGCAATTTTGATAACTTGTTAATTTTGTTTTCCAGAGGAACTCAAGTCGAAGTAAAAAATAAAAAGGGTAACAGTCCATTATGGTTAGCTGCAAATGGCGGGCATCTTAGTGTCGTAGATCTATTGCACCATGCGGGTGCAGATATCGACTCGCAGGATAATCGTAAGGTAAAGACGTGCACAAATTTCATTAGTAAGAGATCTTATTTTTTTCCTAATCTCACAATCATTTTCTGTAACGATTAGGTTTCCTGTCTGATGGCCGCTTTTCGAAAAGGTCACATTAAAGTGGTCAAATGGATGGTGAATCATGTAACGCAATTCCCAAGTGACCAGGAGATGACGAGGTATATAGCAACCGTTAGCGACAAGGAACTCTTGGAGAAGTGTCAGGAATGCGTGAAAGTAATAAGAGCGGCTAAAGAGACGCAAGCTGCTAAGGCGAACAAAAACGCTACCATACTGCTGGAAGAGCTCGATATGGAAAAGACGAGAGAGGAATCGAAGAAGGCAGCCGCTGCGCGAAGACGAGAGAGAAAGAAAAAAAAGAAGCTCGAGAAGAAAGAGGAGAAACGGAAACTTCACGAGGAGTATAAAAAGAACGAAACAGCTTTCGAGGACAAAGAGGAGAACGGAAAGAAATCGGGCGACGAGGAATGCGATCGGGTGGATGACAGCGAACACGAGGGTGGTGACGAGAGAATGGAGACCGTGCCATCACCCATGAACAGAAGTCCAGAGGATCCTGATAGAGAGGAAGGTGACAGTGGAATAGACGCGAATAGTCAAGGAAGTTGTAGTAGCAATGACGTAAAGGCAAGAGAAAAGAAGAAGGATAAGAAGAAAAAAAAGAATAATACTCCTAATAACAACGACAAGAATACATCTCCGCAACGTTCACCCAAAACACTTCTTACACAAAACAATAATTTATCTCAAAATATAGCAACATCGACCAAGTCCCAAAATAATACTTCGGAAAAGTGAGTAAAATTTTTTTTATCTCCTGTTTTTTTTTGTTTTTTTTGTTTTTTGTTTTTTTGATCTGGAGAATCTCAGAACTGTTGAAGAGAATATTGAAAGAGAAATTTATCATGTTAGAAAACACAGTTTGCATGCAGATGTTATTAAATATTTAATATCTTTATTATTCTTTATAGAGAGGAGTATATTGATTGTTATGTAATCTATAATGATTTTTATAGGCGAATTATGACTAATATTGCCAGTGCAGTATCTGTATCCACAACTTCAGTTACGACCAGGACATCCACTACCGTCAGTTCTGATCGAAAATTGAAAGGTCAATTGGTTTTTGAATCCTCTAGGCATCCTGCTGATAGAGAAGATTTCGAAGCGACTGGTAATGAAACTTATGTTCCCGGCAAAGGAAAAAAATCGTATAATAATCAATACGATGGAGATGCTCTAAATACATTGACCAAGATAAGCAACACTAGTCCTAAACAAGGCGGAAAACGCGAGGAAGGATGGAAGGAGGTTGTACGAAAGTAAGATATGTTATGTTCTTAGAGGTATATTTGTGCAGATTTTCGTATAATTCGAAAAAAGTAATTTTATTTTCATAAATAAAGACATGTTTTTTAATACATACGTCGTAATTTTCTAGGGGACAATCGGATGACTCGGGAAGATTTATGAATTCGCCATTCCGTTCCAAAAAGGTATCCGTTCCGCCGAACGCTATTAGTCGAGTGATAGGCAGAGGTGGCAGTAATATAAATGCCATTCGTGTTGCAACGGGCGCGCACATCGAAGTAGAAAAGCAAAGTAAATGTCAAGGGGAAAGAATCATCACGATTAAGTAAGTATTGAATATTATGTTTTATACACATACACAAACACAAAAAAACTATCAATTTCCAGATTATCATATCTATTGTTTTTAGGGGATCGTCTGAAGCTACAAAACACGCTCATGCATTGATATCACTACTTATCAAAGATCCTGAGGCGGATATATTGCAAGTACTTTCAAAATCAAAGCTCAATGTCATAACAACTTCTTCATGGGACAAAACTATCACAGTTGCAGCAGTAAGCATATAAAATGAATCAATAAACTTTAAACACATGAAACAATTTAATAAGTTGATTGTTTTCTTATTTAGGCATGTAAAGCGAAAGTTGGATCTGTAAATAAACCATCTAATCTAACATCCAGTACAACTAATAATCAAGTTAATAAACCAGGATATCCTTCAGGCGTATCTACTGTAAGCCAATTGGTTCCTCTTCGTTCATCGTCCACTATTAAGCTTGCTAGTGCTTTCTCTACTTCTTTACCACGTGCAACAGCACCTAGACTCGTAGCTGCAGGTAAATTAAATACGAAAAAATATATTTTTATATCAAACACACTATAGGTTTTGTCATAAATAATATCACAAACATATGCACGCAGCAGAAAAGCGCGCGCAAGCTGTAGCCGCGCAAATGGCCTCTTCGTCAAACACCAAGACGACGATGTCGTACACAAGTGCAATCATGACTGCTGGTAGAGCAGGAACAAAGATTGTTGCGACTAACACGACGCAGACGTTTGCGGCGAAGCTGTCCGAAATCACTGCCTCGACCCACAGCTCTACAACGGTCATGCAATCCACTCACGTCGCACCTGTGAATAAGCAACAGAAGCCTGGTGCTCAAGTCGTGACAGTTATGTCGGCCGCAGCGACCGTTCATACAACCAACAACCAGCAACAACAGCAGTCTATAATCAGTACGTCGCCGAAACACTGCCGATCACTGCCTACTTTGTCTGCCCCACCGGCAATTAGCGGCTATCCCGGAAAATCGAATTACCCGCCTGGAACGAGCGCGATTTTATCATCAGCCACAAGTACCGTGGCGATGACAAACTGCTCGGAGAGTTCGATCGTGTCAACGTCAACCAATTCCATTCGAATGACATCTTCGCCACCCGTATCGTCGCAGACGCAAACGTTGCCGCCACCATCGCCAGCACAGCAGCAACAAACTGTTCGAAGCACAACACCAATTGTGATGCAAGAACAGCAACAACACCAGCAGCAGCAGCAGCTACCTAGTAGCACACCTCTCGAGTATTCTTTATTTAACGATACTTTCACCAAAGTTACGCAACAGTCGATGTGGGGCGGAAGGGAGAACGAAACTCAGAAAGGTATGAATTTCGCGACTGTTGCGGGCGGTGGTGTATCGTCAAATACGGGTTCCAACTCGTCTGCAGCTAAGTTTGACAGTTCTCCACCTCAGGTATGTTTAACATTGAATAAGCATTCTTATTTTTAATTAAAAAAAATGAGATTAGATCTATAATTAAAATCTGCAAAAACTTGAAAAATTGTCCGTTAACGGAAAAGTTAAAAATGCTTTGTATCAATATGAGTCATACTCGTGTTTAATTATTTACTCATAAGTCACCCACTCATAATTGTATATTCATTTTTCCCTTTTTTATCAAAGATTGTATCAAGAAACATTACAATTTATTGTGTCTTTAAAATTAATAAAATACGTCTTGAATTTTATTGGATAGGTGGATGCATCCAAAGCACCTGGATATCGTGGAGCAACAATGTGTTCTCCAGTCTCCAGCAAGCCAGGTATCACGGGCAACTCATCGGCTAATATAATCGGTAACGTGGTATCGTGTTCTGTACAGAACAATCCCATGCAATCTGCACAATATCAATCTTCGACGAGCTATAGCGAGCATCCGTTACCAAATAAACCGCCGGGAGGTCTAGCGGTGGCTAGACCGGTGATGCCCCAACAGAGTATCGACATGGGAACAAACATGGCAGCTGCGCAATACAATAGGCAAACGGTCTTTCAAGGTGACTTGTCATCGCGAACCGCGACAGCCCACCAACCGGCGGCCCATGTGATACCATCTTCTACGTCGCAGCCGGGATTGGACGTTGGTTTGTTCAAGACGAATAACGCCGGTGGCTACGAGCATCCAAATTCTAACCTGCTGAAGATGGTGCCGAACGAGAACCAGGGCGGCGCCGGTCATCCCCTGCTACCATTTCACCCGCATATGCAGAGCTTCGCTCAAACCATTGCACCAGCCACCTCTGTGATCAATACCACCGTCAGTATGTCGAGATTGAACCCTCGCGCTCCCGACTTTTCCAGCTCGTTGCATCTGAGCAATAAGTCGCAGGTAATGTTCAATCCCGCCACCGGATCGGCATTGCACCCAGCCAATATGTTCACGGCTACCGTGCCAGCGCCTCCGCCATCCGCAATGCAATCCAACAATTTAGCGATGCTTGGCAACTTCCCGTTGGGAAAGTATCAAGCGCCTTCACGTGCGACGCCGGCGGCAAATACCGGTATTTCAACAACGGCTCAGACACGTTGGCCATTTGCACCAGCACCACATACCAATTATCCTCCACATCAGGATCCCATGATGAGTCAGATTGGTTTCTCCAATCACTTGGCCAACATTGGTGGGCAACCTGGCGGTAGTGGTATCGATCTGATTACGAGTTTGGAGAACGGTGGTTCACCGGCCATATCCCCCACATCATCGGCGCAAGTCACACAAGAGATGAACCAATTAAAAATCGAGGACCGTAAGGTGCCACGACCGATCGGTACTGAGAGAGCCACATGGAAGAATTACTCGGCCGCAAACATGGGTCCGGGCGGAGATGCTGATACTATTAGTTGGATGCTCAACAACGACAAATTAGGTTGGTCTAACTGCAACATGGCACCTGGCATCGATAGACATCAAATATTCCGATCGAATTCCACTTACAATCAACGTATGCCCAACGTCGACCCCGAGCTTCATCAGATGATGGAGTCCACCTTTCAGGTAATGATTAAATTTTGCACGATAAGATTATTTTATCGATAAATAATTTATGGTGTATGAGCGTGTATGCATATACTTTATATAATTACTATACACACATACGTAATATAGATGGAGAAAGAAGGAAAGAGAGGAGGAAAGTACGTACACTACATTTATAATTTTGTGTATGTGTGTATGTATGGTGGGGGGG